ATATTTACCCTTCTTTTAAACAACATGGTATCCGCACATCGAGAAGGGTTGTTAAGATTCAGATTGGGTTGTTATTATAGACCTCCTTTGCTGTACAGTGAAAATGAGTCAACTGTCTTGTAAAGGTCAGATCTGAAAAAAAATTAACCTACCCAAAAGGGAACAGCTCCTCCTCTCTGACCAAATAAACCAACCAAAGGTAGCTTAATATCAGTAAAATTTTAGTACAGTATAGGATACTGAGATGTTTTCCTTTAGATTTAATCTTCTCTTAAAAAATACTTAGGTGTTTAGGCCCTGATGGTGTAGAGATTTCAGCACAAATTTAAAGGTCCACTCAAACTAAGCCCCATTGACTTCAAAAAAATTGCCAGATCCTTGTTTAAAAAAAAAAAAAAAAAAAAATCAAGAATTCAGTGTTTAGGAAAAGTGCCAGATTCACAGCATTAGAAACTGAAGTCCTTATCTGCAGAGGAAGGATAGCAAGGGATAGTGTCTTGGGCTAATGCAGGAATGGTTAAAGGATAATTCATTCTTCATGTCTTTCAATCACTTTCTGAGAGGCTGTTAAACAGGCACCAGTTTTTTAATAGGACACAAATGCTCTAGGAATTACAGTAAGATCAATTAATATCATATAGGCTATTGGGCAAGCTGTTCGTTGGTTCTGATTTTTGTTCAATAAAGAACAATAGGTCAAATGAAAAATTTTACTGTGACCCGAAGAAATTAAGAGCACAATTAAAACTTCCACCACTGTGACTAGAAAAGACTTGTGGCCGTTTTTGCCACATTAGAATGATTTTATAAATTCTCATATGCAGCACTAGTTTGGGTCCTCCTCTATATACTTACAGCCCCAGTGAGAAGCTCCTGACCGTTGAACGAAAGGTTATTTGGTCCTGGTGCTATAAGCTGTGGGATTGTTATAAAGCTGAAGTTCACAAGGAACGAGAAGATGTTGAAAGTCAGTAACCACTTCAGAAAAACAAAATAGGAAAGAACACTGGTCCCAAACTTGCCACCGATGACTTTCAGAGTCTTCTGCCACAGTTGCAATGAGGACAAAAATCCTGACAGGACATTTTTAAATCGCCGATAGGACTAACATTAGAAGGAGATAAAAATATGAGTCTTAATAGCAATCTGATACTGTACTTCTTATATAGGAACCAAGTTAGAATCACACAAAACACAACTCCACATTTCTAATATTTCTATTTTTAAGTTACAAACATTTTCCTTCCTTCAATTTCTTCTCATTTGTAGGATGTCTTTCCTCATTTTGAGCTCTTAAGTACTACCATAATCCAAAGTCAACAAACAAACCATACAAAATGCATTGTTTCTTTGGCCTATTGGCACATGAAGGTAACATAAGGGAATATAAAATACAGGTCTATGTAGCACTTTAAAGACTAACAAGATGGTTTATTAGATGATGAGCTTTCGTGGGCCAGACCCACTTCCTCAGATCAAATAATGGGAGAAAATAGTCACACCCATATATACCAAAGGATACAATTTAAAAAAATGAACACAGATGAAAAGGACAAATCACATTACAGAACAGAAGGGGGATGTG